TATACATTTATATATTTATTTACAATAATCATTAAAAATACGCTTTTCTAGCTTGATGAAAAAACGAATCTAAATTCAGTCCATTTTGTGGGCCTCGAATTTTGAATCGAACTGTGTTAAATAATGCTGTATGATGGGGGTCAAAAAATCATTCTAACTAATAATTCTAATCAAAATCTCATTGTTATCAAGAAAGCATTAATTTTCTTTTTATATGCTTGAACAATATTAAAAATATTAGGAATTTAACCATTTTGACTTCCAATAATCTTTAACACTACCCCTATACTCAACTTAATTTTTTTCTGAGATTAATGTCCCATCATATAGCACCGTTTGATGTATAATTCGAATTGAAATTCGAGGACCATAAAATACATAAGCTAAAAATGTGTTTTCGGGATTACTCTTTCCATTCGTTTCGATAAGCTATATTCGAACAAACCCCGAAATGTCCATCCTTCAAGTAACTTAAAGTGGTTCTTTAGTAAATCGAATTACTATAGAAATGTTTAATTTTTTTATATATAGTAATAAAGTTGAAGTACCGAAATTTTCGTGTGCAAAATTCTACAATAGGTTAACAATAAAATAAGAGAGAAAAAAAAGTTGAAAATGTAATCTTTCACGTATAAAGTGACGGATAAGGCTCATATACACTTCTTTGACTAACTACACACAAATCTTACCATAGACTTTTCACAAAAACGAGATTATAATAGTTTAAAAAATTACAATTTTAATAGTCACAAAAAAGTAATAGATCAACTGTTATTCTGGAAAGATATTTACGTGCATAAATTTGCATTTTAATCTCGATAAGTAAACATAATGTTTTCGTTCGATGAAGATGCAGCTCTTGATTTACTCCTCTCTCTCTCTCCTGTCGTATGTTTCATATTATTTCATTAAGATATACACGTAGTTTTAATATTTTATCCAAATTATGCAGATATTTGTAATTTTGGATGGATCCCGGTGAAGTACCCCAAATTTTCGGCATTTTATTAAAAAATCACCTTAAAAAATTTTCGCGCAAACAAAAATTGAATGTCGCCAATATATACAGGGTGTCCCGTCAATTTTTTCCAAGCGCTTTTATGTAAATAGAGCGGACTAAACTCAGTCGAAAAGTCCTGTACTATTTTACAATTTTCTCAATAATTAACAAGATATTAATTACTAAAAATCGCTAAATATTGATTTTCAATAATATTTTACTCAAATACTATCAACTTTACATAAAAACAGCAACAGACAAAAATTATTTATTTTCTTCTCATAAAGTTTTGAAAATTTTTTCAGAATTTTTTTATATCGTATTTTCTCATGTTGGTATAAATAGTTGCCAATAAGAAAATGCAGTACTAAAAAGTTGATTAAAAATTCTGAAAAAAATTCTTAGAGCTATGAGAAAAAAATAAATAATTTTTGTCTCTTACTGTTTTTCTGTAAAGTTGATAGTATTTAAGTAAAAAATGATTGAAGAGAGAGATCAATATTCGGCAATTTTTAATAATTAATATCTCGTTAACCATTATGAAAATTGCAAAATAATAGAGGACTTTTCGGCTCAGTTTTTAGTCCGCTCTATCTACAAAAAAGCGCTTGGCCAAAAATTGCAGGACACTCTATATATGTATATTCTGTGAAAGCTTCATTCTCTCTCTCTCTCAATTATTTATAAGAGATAAAATTGCGAATCAAGATGAGATTTTGATGGCTTTCGTATTTATAGCTCGATCAATTTTACCGGTGTAGCGATGGAGGTAATTTCATGTCCGGAATTAAAAGACAGAAGTTAATTATTTTGCTAGCGTTTATCCAATATATATTTTATGAACCACGATAGAGCGACAATTTGAAATTTCAATCGGCAATTTATTAAACTTTTCATTGACACAGAACATTATTACGCATATTTTCGAAAATCTCGTCAAATTAAAAATTAATAAGCAATAACAAAAGATATGCAAGCAATCATTTTTAAAATTATTACTTTATGTATACAATTAGGAAAATTATTTATATACCTTTATTAATTTCATAAAAATGCGGTACTTCTCGTTGAATCAAAGTGTTTGGCTCGTGTTTCAGTTGATGAAAACTTTCTGACTTTTCAAACCATTGCACAGTGGAACTTTCGAAAGTACTATAACGAAAATACAGTATAAAACCGTATATTAACTACTTTTTATGCTAATTGTGATGATCAATGGTATTTATATTACATCTTTTAATTATATACATATGTTACATTTAAGAAAAACATCTAAAGAAGTTACAAATTTTAAGACTGTATTAGAGATAATAGGTTCATTTATATCAAAGTTTATTCAAATTTTTACAATCATTATCAGTTTCAATTACGTATATTATTTCCATGTTTGTCAATATAACGCCTTGATATTTGAATATTTTCTAGCTTTAAGTTTATAGAAAATCATTATGTACTTACCATATGTGGATGTTACGAGTGACTTTTAGCCACTTTTTCGGCGATCTATCCCACTGTGCATTGAATGGAAATATCAATACTGAATAAAACAAATGATTTCGCGATTATCAGTCGTTGTGCGGTTTTCATCAATTTCTAGAGTTAATTAGGGTCAATCGAATGTAAATGTTACTTCGGAGAATGCAGTTGATGAAACTTTTTTTTACATCAACTATTAGTGTTGTTCATGTTTATTGCATGCCGGCGTGATGGAATTATTGCAGTATATATTATTGAGTACATTGAAACTGTGATGAGACTTACGTGTATTCAAATTGTAATCTCTGTAGATTTAGCTGAATTTCGTTTATTCCTTTCAGGCTATGACACATTGTTGATTTAAACAATAAAAATTCAACAGTAGCAACGATATTAAACAAACAAATACGCTCTCGATTTATTCATCAAGCAATGTATTATGCAAACCGCAAGCAATGCCGTAGGATAGATAAATATATGGTAGGGCAGTAACGCGCCTGATATTGACAGTCGACCCATGGCATGTATGCAGGTACATTATTTCCTCATATGGCCGTGGCCTATATATATGCATCACTTGCTTTGATCCTCGATGATATAAAATTCGTGCATTTTGATACGCTATATTACGAGACTAATAAGTTTTTTCTCTATACTTTTATATTATATTTTTTTAAAGTGCATACATATAGACATCTTAAACATCTCACACATTGTCAGTTGAACTGTTTATAAAGACAACAACTTGTATAGCTATCTTATTATTATTATTATTAATATAACAAATGTTACAAAAATCAATTATTAATATAAATATGCGGTAATATGTCAATTGTATACGAAAAAAATGTTGTATTAAGACTTCCATTCACTATTATTTCAGATTGTGATGATAGAAGCAAGAAAGCACAAAATAAAAATTCTTGCAAATTATGTTTAAATAGAATTATTTTTCAACAGAATATCATTTTCAATCGATAGATTTATAAAACATATCGTATATGTGAAAATTATTTTCTTGTTTCGTGGAGAAATTACATCATATTTATTTTTCTATATATTATTAATTTGACAATTTGGTATAGTTGTGAACATAGCTCATTTCGTTTTTAATTATGTGTAATTTATTTTCAAATGTATTCATTAATTGATGAAACAAAAGAAGAGTTTGCGGTATATTTTAAAATTGATTCTATCAATTATAAGAGTTATTTTATTGAAATACATTTCCATATTATACAATATCATGCAAAAATTTTTATTGTCTATTTTTCTTGTTTCTGATGTCACAATATAAGATAGTAATAATGAACAAACGGAAGTCGTTTAACAGCAACAGTTTAATTAAAAATAATTTTATCAATTTATATAATAGATAATAGTATTAATGAAACACAAACATGTTGTGACATCAGAAACAAGAAAAATAGACAATAAAAATTTTTGCATGATATTGTATAATATGGAAATGTATTTCAATAAAATAACTCTTATAATTGATAGAATCAATTTTAAAATATACCGCAAACTCTTCTTTTGTTATAATAAAATATTGATTATTTCATTAAGGTAGATCTTTAGTAAATCGATTTACCATAGAAATGACCTCTATGAAGCTGGTCCCATATTTTCAAAATTTTGAAAAAATAAATAGAGTTCTGGTTGCCCCCCCCCCCCCACCCCCCCCCGAAGAATTCTAGAGTTTTCTATCAATTTTAGAAAGAATTCCGTCGATTAAAGCGGTGAAAACACCATTTGAAGTTTCAAGGTGGGCCAAGTTCACGATTCCGAAATTGAAGGGCTATAACTTTTTTACCGTTCATTTTAGCACATTGATCTATATAGGACAATCGATAGAACTCTTTAGGAGGCAACCAAAACTCTGAAAAAAATATCAGATTTCCGAAAAAATTAAAAAAAAATTTTTTTTGGGAGAAAAACAATTTTTTTTAGATTTCGGTGACTCTGTTATGAGTACTGATAGCCTCCCAAAGAGTTCCAACGATTATCCTTAATAACCAATGCGCTGAAACCAATATCTAAAAAGAGCTTTGAAGTTTCGGATTTTTCTAAGTCCACACAGATCAAAATTTTTTTTCGGAAATCCAGCATTTTATTGAGAGTTTTGATAGGCCCTCGAAGAGTACTAATGATTATTCTTAATATTGCAATAGCTGAGACCGCAAATAAAAAAGTTCTAGCGCTTTGAAGTACAAAAATTCGACATCTGAAACTTCAAAGCTCTAGAACTTTAATTGTGCATTATATTATTGTTTTTTATTTTTAATTACTCTCTACAGGGTGTAACTGAAATAACCCACTGCTTATTCTTATTTAAGGGTACATTTTCATATTATTTTTTCAATAGTGGCAATATTTTAACTCTTTTGGAGCAAGATTTTACTCTAAGAAATTTAGAGAATAGAATCATTCTGCAAATAAAACTTTTTTTTGAGTACCTATAGAAAAAATAAAGTAATATACTAAGAATGACTAACAATAAGATACAATATCTTCTTTGCAGGTTTCTTGGGTGAGGCACCGGGATATACATTTGTTAACGGTTGGTCGTTATACCTATACCAGCGATCAACGTTTCGAGGCACTACACTCTCCTCATACGGAGGACTGGACCTTGAGGATACGATATCCTCAGCGTAAGGATTCCGGGATTTATGAGTGCCAAATATCTACGACCCCGCCCATCGGCCATCCTGTGTATTTAACGATAGTCGGTGAGCGAATAATTAATTTTATGTAATTATAACATTAATTTTTCACTTCCTTGACATACGAAAAGAAATGGTAAATCTGAGAAGTGACTATATCCAATAGATATCACATTAACATTATATTCGCTAACGATTTTATTTACAAAACTCTTGAATTTCTAATTTCCTTTAAGTTTTCACTTTGGTGACGCAACTTCGAAGTCGTACTTTACTTTCATTGAGAGACGTATTTATTTGGAGCGATATAAATTTCCTGGTAACATCATGAGTTTGACTCAAACGTTCCGCTGGATGCAATATAACTTCAAAAGTTTTCCGCTAGTTGAAGAAAGTGCAGACCTGTACCTTCTATAGTTAGCTTGCGTATAATATAACCATCGTTTAATTAACAGCTACATGCAGAAGAGAAATTTTCATTCATAATTAATCTTGAATTGTAGAAAACATACTGCTATTCATAAATTCGGGAACGCTTGCAATTTTCAATATAATTATATGTGTATTCACCTTTAATTGGTTTTTATTGTGTTTTTAAGATGGACATTATAACAATCTGACTTATAATTATTTATTGTTCTATGCGGACGTTGGCTCTCAGAATAAAAATGTGATGATTATTACTTGTCTGATTTCCATCTGGATAACACATTTAACAATTTTTATTCTTTTACATCTTTTACTCTTTATAAAAATACCTTTGATTTTTTTGCATTCTTCTTTTTATAAATTGACATGTTACGCTTGGAATATTCGATTGTGCTCTATGGGGACGGAGGGTGAATAGAATAAGTACACATATAATTTAATAGCAATTAATTTGCTTTGTTCATTGTACTCTACAGTTAGTCATTTGGTTTAACAGCGAAGAGACAATTTATGGCAACTCCCATCCATTTAGTAGGGACATGCTCATCCTTGGTCTCACGTAGAATATTTTTTCCAACATATGCGGACTATATGTTATTAAGACATTGACGAAAATTACCTTTCCAACATTTACGGACTATATATTATTAAGACATCAACGAAAATTATTCACAACTTGCTGAAGATGGTTTGAAAAAAACTGAAACGTTCAAGAAAATTGTATCGACACTTATGGCAGATCAATATATTATGTGAATATCACTCGAATTTTTTGGTTATTTGCGCGCTGTATTAACGCTCTCGTTTCCCGTATATTTTATTATTGTATTTATAATTATATGTATCTATATAATTGAAATTTCTTTTCTTTTATATCTTTTTTATAAGGGTTAAATATTGGAATTGAAATCCTTAATCTCTGATTTTTCATACGTAAAAATTCGATTGGGAACCAATAATATTTCATCTCTTACATATAAAATTTTTATAATTAATTTCCACATCTTAAATTACATTTTTTAAATCCAAATGTATGTGACGAAAATTATCGTCTAATTATTTAAAAAATCCATTCGCACGACTGTCACGTAGCTACAGATGAGTGACCAACTGTTTCAAATTAGGACGAACAGTTCTAAATTTTAACTTTATATCTTAAATTTTGTCCCAAATTAAGAATATAAGTTATAAATTATAAATTGTCCCTCTTTTAAGTATAAAAATAATAAATGTGAAATAATAAATGAAAATAATAAGAGTGCGAAATATAATTTTTAACTAATATGTAAAAAATTTTATTTAAAATCTTTTATTTAAAAACACTGATATTATTCATAAAATACATTCAGTAAAAAAGTACAATTTAAAAAAATAAAATGTGATCTTGTAACTTGATGTAATTTTTGTTGTGATCTCATGTGATGTTATAGATAAAGTGTTATTTACAAATATAATGTATATTGTTTATATATATTATATACAAATATAATATGATATTGTTTATGTGCTTTGTTAATAATTATTTAAGAAATGTTTATCTATTAAAATTTAATTACAACAATTAATATTAAATTTTTTAAATGTCCCTCATTGCTTTCTTAAGAAGTTGGTCACTTTAAACTACAGACCACTCAAATCGTTCGTCTTTGTTTTAGAGCCGAAAACCATTATAATCGGAGCGCCGGACCTCTTCGTCAATAAGGGCAGCACCATCAATCTGACGTGCGTCGTAAAATACGCTCCCGAACCACCTCCGACGATGACCTGGAGTCATAACACAGAAGTGAGTGTTATTTATTTGCTTCCAGAAATAAATTACTGAAGGATAACACAGTCTATCCATAGAAGCAAAAAATCTTTAAATTTTATAACAATTTCGCTTCGAGTTTGTTTTGAATTTATAGTAAAACTTTTATAATAAGATTTAATTAAAGTTTTGATTTGAAAAATAGGACTCGCGATTTAATTCTAACTATTATTTTGCTTTACTCATTTTGTACAAAACAGATGAATTATAATAAGTTCAACAGAATTTGTTTCTCTAATTACGGATTATAGTTTTATAATTTTCGCACAATGTTTTGCAGACCGGAATTCCAGACCGTGGCTCGATGTTCCATCTCCGATTTTCCTGTCCGTAATTTATCTCGCGACGAGTTGCGTAACGATGCTCTTTGCCGCGTTGGACAACAACAGACATACATGATTAATATGGTCTGTCGGCGCGTATTTTCTTCGCGATGAGAAAATACATTTTGTGCTTTTAATACCACTTTGTGCAACAAAAGTTATTGTAAACGCGCATTTCACGGGGCACAAAGAGCACATTACACCACGGAACCCATTAATATTGACGAACTCTTTAGAATAATTTTGCGCGACGTAACGTTCGCGGCGTCGCGCATCGTTTTATTCACGATGACGAGATAATTTTAAATTCCCCTCTGTGGACCGATATTTGTAATTCCACGTTTGGTATCGGTCGAACGGAAATTATTCTGCGCGCGTTAATGAGACGCTCGTACGTGTACGCATGGTTTGTAGTAAAAACTAACAAACGATCAATAAAAGGGGGGAGGGAGTAGACAGTAATTTCTCGGCTGATTGCCGATACATCGGTATGCCATCGGTCGCCGGAGATACGCGCTATACTCGCTCGGCTACGTGCTTTTATAAAATAAAACAGCAAATAACACAATTTTCGCAAGGTACTATCGCGCACGTTGATCAAAGCGAAATGCGAAATAGAAAACTAGCCGCTCTCACAGCAATACGCGGTAGCCAAGGAAATTATTTTCCGATTAATCCTTCGTGGTTTTCGATTCTCTCTCGCGGATAATTATTTATTCTTTAAAGCGATACATACGGCGAAACGATTCTGCTATTGCATGAGGGGGGGGGGGGGGGTATGGGACGAGTTCACTTTTTTTTACAGAAAAAAGAAATGAAAAGCACTGGAAGAAAAGCGAAAGAGGAAAAGCGAAGGATAGTTTTCCATTCTATACGAGGGCGTGCCGTTACGCGTGTCTATTCTCAAAGAGAATACGAAAGAAACGTATACTTATATACGCGCATTTCCTGCTATTCTTTACCTCGTACCTCACGGAGAGAGATGCCTTTTATCTTCCGCCAAAGGGGCGTCAGAAAAAGCGTTGTCGGAAAAAGCGGGGATTCCAGGGAAATGTAAGAAAACAGGCGCGCGCCGATGTCTTTGAAAGAACTATTGCGGGTGAAACGCATATGGCATCATATCTACATGTTCAATATTAAATGATGCAAATCAAAAGAGGAGTTAGCCTTTATTTCCGGTATTATTAGAGTTTCCTGAAGCTATCATCATCTCATGGAGCTCGAGCCTCAGAAACATTCAATAGTGTAAAGTTCGAATAGATACCATCAATAGATTTCCGCGATACATAATATAATCATGACATAGAGAAAGCTTCAGCTATTAATTTAATATCTTACAAGTTTACATGTATTAATAATTTGAAGAGGATTTTTATTTCTAAAAAGAGCTTAATTTCGGTAAAAAAATACAGAAATAAAAAGAGAGAATAGAATCTTTATTATTATTACGTTATTTATATTATGTGCTTTGAGGAGATCATGTCTATGTCTCCTCAAGCGCTAAACATAATATACATAATTAAATTATAGCAGTATCTTGCCAAGATACAGAACGGAAGTTTTTTAAAGTGAGAAATAAATAAAAGTAAATAAGTTATAAAAAGAAAAATATGTATGTGATGTAGTTGTATAGTGTATGTTGTAATTAGATCAGAAATCTTCATGATTGAGAAGTAACACCGTTATATAACGCCGTTATCGTTTCGTTATTTTTTTTTATAACGATCGTTACTTTTATGAAGTAACGTTCCTAATCCTGGAAATTTTTATAAAATAAATGTGAGAGAGAGAGAGAGGGGGGGGAGAGGGAGAGAGAGAGAGAGAGAGAGAGAGAGAGAGAGAGAGCTATATGTAAAATACATATGTTAATATGTATGTATAATGTGAGTAAACTATTTATATCTTCTAATTAATTAATTCTTCTTTATTATTATTTTAATCACAATCATTTTACATCGAATAATATTGTTGTTACTGCAAACATTCGATTATATTACGTATGTAAATTTGATGTCCTTCCGCGTTATTGGCGTTTATATACATATACATATACCATATACATACGTATATATTTTGTTTTCAATTAATCGCGAATACATCGTGCATATAATTTCATCGTTTGAGAAAAAATACAAGTATATTATAATTATGTTAAGGTTATCAATTTCGATTCGCCACGTGGAGGAATCAGTCTTGTCACGGAAAAAGGGCCCGAAACAACGAGTCGTTTAATGATCCAGAAAGCCGTGCCGAGCGACTCCGGGATCTATCGGTGCGAGCCGAGCAATGCGAATCCTAGCAGCATAAAAGTGCACGTTGTAAAGGGTGAGTTGAAATATATTCTGTAGATATATATATATTATAAAACAATTTACATTATAAAATAATTATTTCGATGAATTTTTATTTCTATTTTGCCACCCATTTCTTTTTCAATTTTTCATGTTCGGTCGACACAAAATTTTTTTTAAATTTCTGATCAAGATTTCGCGGTTTAGCGGAAAACTGGAAAAAAATTCGAGCTCCAAGCGGCTTTACCGCAATTACAATGAATCGACAGAAATAGTGCTCGCCACATCTCGCGACGAGAAAACTCGTAGAGAGCTGTGCAAAAGTAACGTTGATTGACTTTTCTGTAAATATTGCAAACTCCGAATCTATCTGGCAAGTCGCGCGTTAAGCTTGAAATCGATGGTTACGGCCAGTCGATTGCTCGGGCGCGGAACACCGGCGCGGATAGATCTCTCATACTACATGCAGTTGCAAAATGCAGCCGATTTCAAAATCTTGTTTTTTTTTCGTTTCCCTTTCTGTCGTCGAACGCAAAGCACTCTCGATGCGTCGATTCGCAATGACAAAGCAATGACAAAGCCTGATTTTCACGCGAAATCTCACGCAATTTCCGAGTGCGTCCGGTTACGAGCAAAATAACATCAAACGAAAGCGGATTGTTTCGTTCGTTCTGAAAGAAGGAGCTTTTTTTGTAACTCGATATATTTTTGAAGCCGGCGGAATTTACGAGTTTTGTCGCCCATGCTAAAACAATCAAGTCGCACGAATACGATTTTACACTTTAAAGCTTATAAGTTGATTGTGCGAATTGTTTCATCGTCTCTATATATTACATCTTTATCCGCGATCGAATTCATATGTTTAAAAAAATTTAAGATACTTGAAAAAGGAATACTTAAAAAAAATTCGTAATGTAGATGTGAAGAAATTAAGTAAAGGATTAAAAGTAAAAGAGATTTTTTTATCGTGATTGTTAAGTAGTGCAACGTAGCAAAGTATTTTATAATTTCGCTGTATTGATTCATCTGTCCGTTCATTTATTTGTCCGCTCGATTATCAGTGCAAGATTTCTCAGAAACGGTTTAACCTTTTCAAACTACTTTTTCGGCAATAGATATACAGGGTGTAAATAGCATACACTAATCATACAGTGCTATACCTAATAAAAAACTGAGACGAAAAGTCCTTTAGCATTTTGCAATTTTTGCAATAGTTAACAATATATTAATTACAAAATATCGCTGAATATTAATTTTCAATAATTTTTTACTCAAATACTATCAATTTTACAGAAAAACTGCTACAGGTAAAAATTGTTTATTTTTTTCTTATAAAGTTATGAGAATTTTTTCAGAATTTTTTGATATCGTATTTTCTCATGTTGGTAAAAATAAGAAAATGCAGTATTAAAAAGTTGATAAAAAATTCTGAAAAAATTCTTAGAGTTTTGAGAAGAAAATAAATTATTTTTGTCTGTTGCAATATTCAGTAATTTTTAGTAATTAATATCTTGTTAACTAATGCAAAAATTGCAAAATGGTAGAGGACTTTTCGACTTAATCTTTTTATTAGTAATAGCACTGTATGATTAGTGTATGTTATTTCAGATACACCCTGTATACCTAAAAATTTTAGAGACAAAGTGTAGATCAAATCAATTGACCATAATGGAATCAAAGGTCAAGGTGAATAAAGATTTTCAATAATATAGAACAAACGGCTTAACTCTTTCAAATTCTGTCATGATTCGATATTTTCAACGAAATTCTTCCAAATTAATTACAAATTTTTCGCTGCATTACTTAATTACATCTGTTATAAAAATCATTGATTGACTAAATTATAGACGTGTGAGAAAATATCTTGAAACATGTTTACCAATTATGAAGAGATCTGTAATTATTTCTTTGACTCATAACATATGATGAACAGATCAATGCATAATCAGACAAAACTGATGTTTTCAAATTACAAATTTGAAGCGTGTTGTTTAGAACAACAGCTGACAGTTTGGCCGGATGAAACGGTCCATCCATGTGCGTCGATACCGTCACAAAAGGAAGATATGTTATCGTCATCACGTATGCATCAGCATCATTTATCTGCGATATTGCTCTTGCATACGCCACGCACACTGTTTTTTTTTTATAAATTTCAACACAGCGCATTTCTATCCGAATATTTTTGTTTGTAACAATATTTAGTTGTTCCTGTGCAAAAAGCATAGCAAACCGATGTACATACAATATACACATAATATATACACATAATCAAAGTTAATGTTCATTTGTTATCACCTTGTCCTTTTTGCCGCGCCTATGTAATTTGCCAGAAAGCGTTTAAACTCATTTTGTATCGGCAATTTCAATTTAGCTTGTCGTCTAAACTGATTAAACGTCCGGTGCATTATTAGTTTCAGACTTGCGAGGAATCTGTATCGGTTTTCGATTGAGTTGGTATTTACTAATTTCTGGGAGAGAAGGAGAGATAACTACTTAAGTTTTATATAATAACGTTGCAAGATTATAGCAATATGTGTGGAGTCCGCGTTCACGAATCTTCAAAATAATATGCAAATGAAATTAGATAAAATATAAAACAACAACTCCTATATATATAAAGTGTATTTCTTTTTATTTTGTAGATATATATTATGAATAATATGTTCTATCTACTTAATTTATTCCAAATTAAAAACTGAGCACCGATGTGAATAATATAGATTTTGCATATTTTTAGTACACACGATAAAATCATGTAAAATCATATATAATCCGTTTATAATCCGTTCGTAGATTACTGTGTCGAATCGATGAAAATTTCTGTTGCAGAGGAACCAGCCGCGATGCACCACGGGGAAAGCGGAAGCTCCTCGTACAGCAAGACACGGTCGATTTGTTTTATAATTTTAGCAATAGCTAATATAATGTTTATATAAGGCGAGAAGTACGGAAAATACACTTACCCCGACACACATGATGAAACGAGAAGCGCGATTATCGAGAATCGCGAGTTGCCTATTTAACGTCGTTAACGTTTCTTGGATAAATATTTGTGCAGGGTAAAACCGAACATTACCGTTTACATTTAAAGAAAAGACAAAAACGAACTTCCGTGACCAAAGAATTTTCAAATATCAGCACGGCACAATAATCGGTAAGAGCGTAGTATTTTGTTAACATATATCATCAAGAACAAATAACTTACGACGTCAAAATTTATTGTATTATTTGTAAATAAATTTATTGTATGTACATATCAATAAAACAATTGTCTTTATCTGGATCGTCTGGTTCTTGCATGAGGATATCGAGCCGTCATAAACTTTTGCCAAGTGAGGCTGATTTTGAATTAATCTGCTGAAGCAAATAATAATGACTTTGTATTAATTTAGACTTTCCGATAATAATGTTCAAATTTTTTATTTTTTCGTATTACGATATTTGTATGTAAATTTGCTTAGTAAGTAGATTTTCCTGGCGTTCTCTTGGAAAGTATGGATGTAAGACCGTGTCGTCGACAAGATTATGCATCGTGTTGCAAATTTCTCGCAAAAGTACTCCGTCAATCACCGCGACTGAGAAAGTTTACTTCGTTATGTTTCGAGGAAGTTTACATCGCTATCCAATAGTGCAACCAGCACATCTCTTCAAGCCATGCGCTTTTCCTCAGAGACGCGGAAAGAAGAGATGCCAGCGCGCGCGGACATCGCCTCGCTAATGACAACATTAATTACACCGCGCTATCTCACGCTCGTTAATTACGGCGTGGTGCTAAATTTACTGTAAAAAAATACCGACTCGTAAATTTCGCGTTCAATCGCGCGGTGGTGCACTCGATTAATCAGAAAACAAAGTCTCCTGCAGCTCCTTTACGTTCACCATCTTCAACTATCTTTTTCATCAATATTAACACAGTCATTTAAATTTTAACACACTCTAAAAAAATATCGGTGTGAATTTAACATCATGCGGTATTCGTATAATTCTTTTGGTATTGGTATTAATCTCAATATCATCATGATGTGGATTAAAATCTATGACGTTATATCTTCATCACATTGGTGTTACTATTGATACCAATACAATGAGAATCAGAGTTGGAATCATTACTTCATAAAAATAACGCGTTACCATTATTGTTACTTTTTATTTAAAAAATAACTTGTTACACTAAAAAAAATTTCTGGTTAAAAATGGATGAATCAAAATTTTCTAAATTGATTAAATTGATTAGAATTCTAGTTAAGATAATCAGAATTTTGATTGACACAATCCCTAATAGCACAGATCTCCAAGGGACGTTCTAAAGAACGTTCTAAGGAACATTCAGAAGATATCCCTATATCGTAAGAACGTTCGTCAGAACATCGAATAAAGTGTGTTATTAGAGATATTTCTGGTAAAATCTACTAAAATTCTTATCTTTACCAGAATAATTATCCTAGTTATTTCAACTAGAATTCTAATAGATTTAACTAGAAAATTTTGATTCGTCCATTTTCCATCAGAATTACTCATTTTTCTTAGTGTACCATACTCATTACTAATTTTAAAAAGTAACATATTACCGTTATTGTTACTTAGAAAGTAATGATTTATTACTTTCTTTATCATTACTTTGTAATGTTAAAATGAGAGGTTAGATTAAACAATTTCGAAAATATTTCGGCGCGTAGTTCGTTAGATTACAAGTGTGATATATATATATATGTCAAGTACATATCATATTTAGTGATTCAAGATTGAATTATTTAAGCATTTAAGATCTAGCTTCGACCGATATAGGGCTCTAATTTATCGATCATTATTTAATAATCAGTATTAAATGTAATAATCAAAATTAAACTTAGTGAAATTAAGTTTAAAATATTAAAATTTAAAACTGTAAGCCAGTCTCTATATGAGGTTAGCTTTTCCTTATATTAAACTTACCTAACAAGTCTTCCATAATTCTTTGTGTCAATATCTTTATGTATGTTTATCGTTGGGAGGAATTCAGATTATAATTTACAAACGTAGATTTTATTAAAAATTTTTGTTAAACGTTGTTTTTAAATATTAATATAATTATTTAGAGGGCATTCCAATAAAATGAAATATGATCCATTGAATAAATATAAAGATAAAGAATTAAAGTAACGATAAAAGTAACGGCTGAATTCATTATCGTTACTATAAAAATATAATGATTTTTCTCGTTACAGATAGAAAAAGATAACGATAATAATAATGTACACAACATATAATGTTAAATTCACACAGATATTTTTTTAGGATGCACATATCCATTGAAGTTAATATATTGTATATGCGGGATAAAAAAATTCCGTCTTAACTCTTACAATACTATGCTCAATTTGATGCCTCATTTCTACCATTGTGGGTTATTAGAACCCGTTCATATTTTCACTTATTTAAAATGGTTCAAAAAATCTCTAAAAATTCATAAACATACATTCAACTTTCTAGAACAAACGTTTAAACTTCATTTTGGAAAATAACAATGTAGTTATAATTTCCGAAAAACTCGTAAGTCAGGAAAAAGTAAGGAATCGCTCGGTCATTAGTGACCCACGATAGTAGGGTACGGGTTAAGGGGATGCTGAATCGACAGTCGAACTTGATCGAGGTCGATAGTAGAGATTTTGTTTAATTCCAAATTCTCGATAATAGTAGACATCTTTCATTCACATCTTATTATCTTCGCTCGGCGTTCGTATGCACGTCATTTGCAGATCAGGGGCTCTATTCTTGAAAAGAAACGTATACGAAAAACTAGGAAAATACTATAGTATACGTAATGTATACTGTAGTATTTCCCTAGACTTTCGTATACGTTTCTTTTCAAGAATAGACCCCCAGTATAAATCTTTCTTTTGAAGCTTTTAATCTTAGCTTCATAAACTCAGTATTGTTTGTGCACGTAATGCGCTGAGTGCTGCACTATCGTTTGGTCCATACGAGCTATAAAACTTTTGTAAGGAAACATCTACGTCAGGTGACAGCTCTACGATTGTAAAAATGTAAGTTTTTAACTTTTTTCCCAATTTTAGTATAAAATTTATTGTAGCACTCTCAAATTTTGCGTCTACTTTAATTTTATAAAAGGATTTTTGATTCCGTTCAGTAAATTCGGAGATTTATATCGACCTGCAAAATCCCAACAATTCGACCACTCCAGCATTCCCTTAATATATTCTATATTAAATAATATTATAATCTGCTTCAACTAAATACGCACCTTTAAATATTGAATGATCGCTTGACTCACCGATCGTTTTCATGTTTATCTTATGGCACCGATTGAGAGGATTTCACGTCAATTGGCCGCGGTGCACCGAGCAGCTTTCAAATGGTCAATAAGATCCGCCACGTTCGGTTCTCTCGAGCGTAGGATCATGGGCAGAGCTGTTCTTGCACGGTGCTGCTTGCTCCAGGGACCGCAAATGTTTGCCCTCCTTTCTTTCTCCGATGTCGGTTTCTGCTCGTGCAGTGTCATCGACTTGCCAGCTACGAAAAGGTAGAGACCGAGGTATGGCTGGAAGTCGGGTATGTCCTGCTTGTAGACTAGACTGAAGTCACCCGTGTCGACGCAAGCGTTTACTGGCACGTCCATTATCACTGTAAGCAAAGCGATCGAAGGATTTTCATCGTGCACCATACTACCGAAAATCGCTCTTACCTAGATTACGGTGATGGAGTTTGCAGAAAACAGATTAGCAGATTAAGAGAAACCGTGCGCTGCCACACACACATACTAGTTTTCTTAAACCCTCTTATGCCACCATTTGCATTTATCATTGAAAGAATACGGCAGGAGATTCTTATTCACATCTTATTAGTGTTATTCATTGTATATTATTTGAAATATGTATCATTACATATTTGTCTTTATATCCTCAATTCTTATTTTAATCATATTATAGATAATAAATCGTTGTTACATTGTAACAACGAAGATAAGTTCTCGGCATTTAAATCTCAGTGTAAGAGCAAAGGAATTTCTGATTTATTCCGTTATTAAAATTGATAAACTAACTAACATCCGGTATTTTTAAATGTGAAAAAGTATGTAACCGTTTTATTTATCTTTAATTAACAAAAAATTCATTTAAAATTATTAATTATTTATACACGCTATTATTACAAGAATTAATATATTTATCCATTTATAAACGTTTAATATTTTTGCTCGATACGATTGCGTTCGACAGATTCAGAAAATTAAATATTCAAAAATGAATTCAAAAAAGAGATCAGAGCGATTTTATTAATGAATACAAACGATATACATATATCAGCTCTTTTCTAAAAAAGATAGAATATTGAATTTAATAATAAAAAGCCATGCACATATGAGGGACAAAGAATAGGGAAAATGGAACTCTTTTCAACTTGTTGGAGAATATGAAAGGACTGATTATATAATCAATTCACAAAGTTCTATTGTTTAAATTTATCGGTAGTCATAATAAATGAATATTATTATTGCAAATTTAATATTTTTATTTAATATCATCTCTTTTTTGTGTTAATTTAATATCTCTATATTATTAACATCAAGTTGCATATTACAAAAATTCTGATATACACGTTTCCAAGATAAATTTGCTTTAATTAATATTTGCTTTCATTCATATGCAGCATTTTTATAATTTCGTGTTTACATAAATCTTTTTTACGTTATAGAATATTTTGATGTAAATAGTAACAGAATAAACATGGATTTCTTAAATTTTAAATTATTGAAAAATGATCGATATTTATTAAAAATAAGTTTGAAAACATGATAAAATTATTTCTATTAATTTAATTATTTCACCTCTCTGATGGTCGAGACAATATGTGAAAGGTATATTAAAGATATAATTGACGCAATCAGGTGTTTGACCATTTCAGGCTCGATAATTGCGCTCCGGAAATCTCGCTAACGCGGTTAATTCCTCGCGTAAATCCATCACGCAGGGCACGCGGCGCTTATCGGCATTACGTCACCGCGAATTATGGTTCACCGTTATCATTCAAGTAAACCGAGAGAGAGTCGTCTCGGGTCGACTGTCCGGACGACGCGTAACTCGTCTAATCGCAGAATGTGGTTAACGATTTCTGAAGCTCGTGCGAGACAAGGTGTTAATAGCACGCGGATCTTTCAGTTTTATCTTCATCAGTCCACATCTCTTTCGTCGCCATCTCGGAAAAATTTTCTTTCGAACATTATGATAATTTT